CGGTTCCGTATTAATGTCAGAGGATTTTCCATTTATATATGACTTCAAGAGGATACTCTCCAAAGTAGAAGAATTTCGTTTACCTATGACAGGTTGGATTTAAGATTGCAATCCTCTTAATAATAGAAGAATCACCTTTTCTCGTAAATCTAATATTATTCTTATTTAGATCATTATTAACGATACTTTAAGAGTAATATTTTCTACTTTCAATCTTACTAAGAGCCTTATACTCGTATACCTGATTGTCATATGCTTATTAAAGGAAGTCCTTTTTAATTAAAAATATAAATACTTCTATATACAGGGTGTCCCATTTTAAATGATCCAGCCAAATATCTCGAAAACTAAATCCAGTAGACAAAAATGTTTCAGACAAAAGTTGTTTGACTTGAAGGGGGACATAAGATGGTGACATCGATTTGACCTTGGATAGTCCTGTGAAGGTCACGTGAAGATCACCTTTAATTTTTTAAATAGAACTCCTTATTTCTCATTGCACATTCTTACAGCTCATCTCGAGAGCTTTCCAAAACACTATAATTAAGTTACTTTTCGTTAAGTGCTAGTTAAGTTATAACAGTGAAAAAGAATAAATATCATCTAAACTTTAGGGAATAAATATTAAAATTTCTAAAAATGAGAGAGAGAGAGAGAGAGATGTTATTTATTTCTTTATGAATTATAAGAAATAGGGTTCCTAATAAAGCAAATGGTTGTATGTGCTATGATTATCACTGTGTAATTACTTTACACGATTTAATATTTTAATAATAAATTTTTGTACGTTAAATTCATAAATATAAAAGTTATTATTTGTAAATGTAATAATTATTTAGCAAAAAAAGTTTTGCTAAATAATTAAAAATTTCATGGAAGATACGGGCCTAATGTATTTGTCACGGACGCTCTTAAGTCTCAGCGTTACGCGCGCGATCGGCGGCTCGGGCGTAGAGTCTGGAGCGGTAGTGGGGGGACAGTAGGCGTCTCCTCAGAAATCTGGCCGAAAAGGGCAACTGATTCCGAGCGCTGAACTTTATACTCACGCAATATTTTCTATCTTAATCGGTCCATCCAATCGAGATTGATCCATAATGACTGATGGCAAAGAATGATCCGTAAATGCGTAAATTTGTCTTAGTCGTCCAATATCAACCAGGATAATAAATCTATCGGCTCTTAGTTTATCTTGTAACTTAATGTACGCAAAATGCCGGATTATACTTTGAACGAAATTATTGATATTGTTCTGGTACTTGAAGAATGCCATAATAATTATCGACAAGCAGCGGTATTGTACCGTAATCGATTTCCTCATAGACGACATCCAAATCATTGTACGATTTCTAGACTTGTATTGCGTCAACGACAACGTCAACGTCAAAAACGACAAAGACGTCATATTAACGTACCAGAAAGGGATGATCCAACAGTACTTGCCGTATTGGGAATGATAGCTGTTAATCCACGCGTGTCAACGAGGCAAATCGAAAGAGAATTAGGTATTCCGAAATCAACAAGTCACAGAATCTTGACCACTCATAACTTTCATCCTTACCATATCACTTTGACACAACAATTAACACTCAATGATTTTCAACAAAGACTAGAATTTTGTAGGTGGGCACAAATAATGTTAAATCGTGATCGAACATTTTTCAGATTTGTTTTATTTAGTGACGAAGCAACTTTTCACAATACTGAACAATTAAATCGACAATAATTCTCATTATTTTCTGGGTCTGTTGAAAACCCACCTTGGTATAGAGAAGTTAATCATCAATATCGCTGGAGCCTCATTGTATGGTGTGGCATATTAAACGGAAACCTTATCGGCCCTTATTTCTTTGACGAAAATGTTAATGGTAATAATTATTTACACTTTCTACAACAAAGATTGCCGGCGTTGCTTGAAGATATTGATCTGGATACAAGACAACGTATGTTCTTTCAACAGGATGGTGCGCCTGCGCATTGGAATAGAAGAGTTAGAAACCATTTAGATCTCACATTCCCAGATAGATGGATATGACGCGGTGGACCAGTGTCATGGTGTCTTAGATCTCCAGATTTGTTAAGTCTAGATTTCTTTTTATGGGGATACTTGAAAAACGTAGTATATTCAAAAATACCCACAACAAGAGAAAATATGATGGAGAGTATAACTCTTGCCTGCCGTATCATTCCAAGAAATATACTTTTATCGATAGTTGACAGTTTTGAACGTCGAATTCAATTATGTGTGGATAATACTGGACAGATATTCGAACACTTATTAAGATACACTCATAATCATTTCACATGAAAACTAGATTCTGATATGAATCGACCGGATCAGTCCCGATCTTGCTTTAATCGGCCGGATCAGCCCCGCTCTTGTTTTATTCGGCCAGATCAGCCCCGATCTTGCTTTAATCGGCCGGATCAGCCTCGACCTTGCTTTATATCTTAACTAGTACTTAACGAAAAGTAACTTATAAATTATAGTGTTTTGGAAAGCTCTCGAGATGAGCTGTAAGAATGTGCAATGAGAAATAAAAGGTTCCATTTAAAAAATTAAAGGTGACCTTCACGTGACGTTCAGAGAACTATCCAAGGTCAAACCGATGGCACCAACTTATGTCCCCCTTCGAGTCAAACAACTTTTGTCTGAAACATTTTTGTCTACTGGGTTTAGTTTTCGAGATATTTAGCTGGATCATTTATAAAATGGGACACCCTGTATATATACAATAATATGTGTGTGTAGTTAATGCTTTTTCGAGTCGGACACTGGTTGTTGGTGTGTGCATGGTTAATATGAAGTTTTATTTCATTTAATCAATACAAACTCATAATAATATTGAGACATTGAAAAGGAATCGTGGATCGAAACGTTTGTATTGATTAAATGGAATAGAACTTCATATTAACCACACATCAACAACCAGTGTCCGACTCGAAAAGGCATTAACCACATTATTGGATTTATTCAACAGAGTCTTATCGTCATCATTAATTTTATATACACTACTCAACAAAATCTAGGGAATACTTTCAAACACGCTAAAAATTGAGCAATATTCAGAACACCATAATTCAATGAAAAATCATCGCAGACAAAAAATTAAAAAAGGATTTTAAAGGTTGAAATCTCTACTTTCGAAATCTATAATGAAATTTCAATATGACTGATACTTTACGGAGTTATACGGACACAAATGGATATCCGTCAAATCTAAAAATTGTTTACCAACTTTACAAAGGTCTATGGCGTGAAGTAAAAATTGCACGAAAATGCGGTTTACAGCAGTCGAAAGAGTAAATCTTTACCTTTAATTTATGTTTTTATTAAACATTGTACGATTCTTTTTCACCGAATTATTGAACGATGAAGCAAAAGTGATCACTTCTACTTTAACGTTCAATAACTCGGTGGAAAAAAATCGTACAACAATCAATAAAAAAGGAAATTGAAGGTAAAGATTCACTCTTTCGACTGCTGTAAACCGCATTTTCGTGTAATTTTTACCTCACGCCATAGACCTTTGTAAAGTGTGTACAAAATTATACGATATGTTTTAGATTTGACAAATATCCATTTGTGTCAGTATAGCTCCGTCAAAGATCAGTTAGATTGAAATATCAATTACTGATTTTGAAAGTAGAGATTTCAACCTTTAAAATGCTTTTTTAAAAATCTCATTATGACCATTTTTGACGAAGTTACTCTAACCTGAAGTTAAAAGATCATTATGTGATATCTTTTTTGATAATTTATTTGAAATTAATTAAAATAAAAGCATTGAAAATAATTAATTAATTAAGTAAAATTAATTAAAATTTTATAAAGTATAAAAGGGTAAGATCAATCAACTAGGAAGTGAAAGAGAAGTTTGAAAAGAAAACGTAGAATATAAAAGTACATATATTTTAGATATAATTTTATTATATATTCGTTCACACACATTTTAATTAAAAATACACTGCGTAAAACTACATTGCGATCGTAAAAACGTAACCGAAATGGTTACGTTCGGCTTGTTCGGCTGTTCTTGCGCAACTGACATAAACGCGTAGCTAGGATAGCACGTCCTACGCAAACATGAGCTACGATCAAAAATAAATTCCTCTAAACAAAATTCTATTATAATAATTCGAATAGCCTTTTGAAATAAGAGGATGTACAAGAAGTATTTTGCATATTCTTTTATTTCAAAAGGCTATTTGAGTTATTATAATAGAATTTTCTATAAAGGAATTTATTTTTGATCGTAGCTCATGTGTCCTCATTTTTATAGATGAATACGTGTTATAAATACACGCGTCAGATTCATTTAAGATTTTTTGCTTAGAGGAAATGCTAAGAGTAATTCCTCGCTTATCGGCAGAATATTTTTTTTGAGGTGATTGCATACGCATAGATTTCGCGAAACGCGTTTTTTAACCAACGAACAGTACTCGCATCTTCTGGTATTGGCTGTATCGCGAAACTTGTCTCTTTTCCGAGAATGCCGAAATTTCTGAAACGTCGCGAGTTTTCCGCTCGTAACTCTAAGAAATTAAACTGTTCGCCAACCTCGTATCGATGATGCTGCTGCTGCTGATGACGTTGTTGCTGATGTTGCTGCTGATGTTAAGGATGATGATGATGAATGCTCCTCGATGTCAGCAGGATTCTCCTCTCTTTCGTTTATTAGATCGGCGTCATCCCGCCGGTGCCATCGCTGGTTTGTACTGAAAAAATTAAGCAAATATTGTTATACATCGATATCGATAAAATAAATTATGCTAAAATATTATGTCAGATTGTGATGATTTGAAACCCCAAAAATTTTTATAGTTACAACGTTAATATATATCATATATAAATGTATATAAGCAAATATCACGAGCAAATTCTTTGTTACATTCGAAGTAGTGACTACGTTTAGCATACTAAGGTAACTCACCTTTAGTTGCTTTGTTCACTGGCGTCAAAATCTCCGGAATATTGACTCGATTGATTTATATCATTCAACACCAGCGTATATGAAATATCTAATAAAAAAGTCATACATGAGAATACATTACGAGAAAAATACATAAAAAGTTTAGTGAAATATTATTACCTTTAACATCATGAGCGTAGTATCTAGCTTTCCTCCTTCTCCTCCTTCTTCTCCTTTTCCTCTGTTTCATTCACGTCTTCTTTTTCCTCCCTCTCCAAAGCTTCTTGTGTCTCTTCTATCTCCAAGATATTGGCGGATTCCACTACCGAAATATCGCCGCCGTTATCCACTTCCTCCTCCTTCTCTTCCTCTTCTCTTTCCTCTATAACTTCTTTCTCCTCCTTCTATTCCTCCTCCTGTACTTCTTCATTTTCTCGCGCTAAAAAGTAACATTTTGTTATCTTTTGCATAAACTTACTGTGGATTTTCGCTAACTTTTTGAAACTTACCGTCGTGGTGGCATAAGAGGGTTCCACAATATATGCATATGGGCAGAATCCTGCGATTCATTATCTAAAACACAATTATATTTTTACATTAGTATTATTATTCTTATTTATTATTTGTTTATTATTATTCTATCCCTACAAAAACTGGTCTTGTAGGAAGAAATATTTAAAAAATTCATTCAATATAACCATGGGGAAGTTCCGCTCATTACGTGGGTAATCCCACACGGCTTCGATTCGTGTTCTTCCTAGAAAATTAAATATTTTTTAGTAGACTGACCTACCAGGTATGTAAATATGAAACCGGAATTTACCAATAGATGGCCATAGCTGTCAATGTAATTGCCGTCAGACCGCGTCATTGACGCCATTTCCTTGTTCTGACATCTGACAAAGATTTTCAACTCACAACAATACAAGTTTCATACAACAGTTAGTTTGTAATAGCGTTGAACATGTCGAATTTTGAGCCTGAAAACTACGATTTGCGGACAGTATTGATTTTCTGTTACCATTTGAAGAAAACTGCTGCAAAATCGCATCGAATGTTTGTCGAAGCTTACGGTG